ATCCCAGTTTGATCCCAGTTTAATCCCAGCTCCATCCCAGTTCGATCCCAGCTCCATCCCAGTTTGATCCCAGCTCCATCCCAGTTTGATTCCAGCTCCATCCCAGTTTGATCCCAGTTTGTTCCCAGCTCCATCCCAGTTCAATCCCAGCTCCATCCCAGTTTAATTCCAGTTTCATCCCAGTTTGATCCCAGCTCCATCCCAGTTTAATCCCAGATCCATCCCAGTTTAATCCCAGCTCCATCCCAGTTTGATCCCAGTTTAATCCCAGTTCCATCCCAGTTTGGTCCCAGTTTAATCCCAGTTTGATCCCAGTTCCATCCCAGTTTGATCCCAGTTTAATCCCAGCTCCATCCCAGNATCCCAGTTCCATCCCAGTTTGGTCCCAGTTTAATCCCAGTTTGATCCCAGTTCCATCCCAGTTTGATCCCAGTTTAATCCCAGCTCCATCCCAGTTTAATCCCAGCTCCATCCCAGTTTGATCCCAGTTTGAACCCAGTTTAATCCCAGCTCCATCCCAGTTTAATCTCAGCTCCATCCCAGTTTGAACCCAGTTTAATCCCAGTTTGAACCCAGTTTAATTCCAGCTCCATCCCAGTTTAATCCCAGTTTGATCCCAGTTTGAACCCAGTTTGATCCCAGCTCCATCCCAGTTTAATCCCAGTTTGATCCCAGTTTGATCCCAGTTTGTTCCCAGCTCCATCCCAGTTTAATCCCAGCTCCATCCCAGTTTAATCCCAGCTCCATCCCAGTTTAATCCCAGTTCCATCCCAGTTTGATCCCAGTTTAATCCCAGTTCCATCCCAGTTCGATCCCAGTTTAATCCCAGCACCATCCCAGTTCCATCCCAGCTCCATCCCAGTTTGAACCCAGTTTAATCCCAGCTCCATCCCAGTTTGATCCCAGCTCCATCCCAGTTTGAACCCAGTTTAATCCCAGCTCCATCCCAGTTTAATCCCAGCTCCATCCCAGTTTGATCCCAGCTCCATCCCAGTTCCATCCCAGTTTGATCCCAGCTCCATCCCAGTTTAATCCCAGCTCCATCCCAGTTTAATCCCAGCTCCATCCCAGTTCCATCCCAGTTTGATCCCAGCTCCATCCCAGTTTGAACCCAGTTTAATCCCAGATCCATCCCAGTTTGATCCCAGTTTGTTCCCAGCTCCATCCCAGTTTGATCCCAGTTTGATCCCAGCTCCATCCCAGTTTGATCCCAGTTCAATCCCAGCTCCATCCCAGTTCAATCCCAGCTCCATCCCAGTTCAATCCCAGCTCCATCCCAGTTTAATTCCAGTTTCATCCCAGTTCAATCCCAGCTCCATCCCAGTTTAATTCCAGTTTCATCCCAGTTTGATCCCAGCTCCATCCCAGTTTAATCCCAGCTCCATCCCAGTTTAATCCCAGCTCCATCCCAGTTTGATCCCAGTTCAATCCCAGTTCCATCCCAGTTCAATCCCAGTTCCATCCCAGTTCAATCCCAGCTCCATCCCAGTTTAATCCCAGCTCCATCCCAGCTCCATCCCAGTTCAATCCCAGCTCCATCCCAGTTTAATCCCAGTTCCATCCCAGTTTGATCCCAGTTCAATCCCAGCACTTTATTTCTTTATTTCTTTCCCTCAGGGCCTCTCCCGCCATTCCCCCCCCCTCCACCCCTCACGCCGCCATCTTGCCCCGTGACGTCACCGCCCCCTCCCCACCAATTCCCTCCCGTCCCCGCCACCCCCGGGACCCCCGCGACCCCCGGGACCCCTCCGGGCCTCGCTCACCGAGCCCCGACCTTCCCCGAAGGCCTCCGGGAGGGCTCCGGAGCGGCGGGGCCGAGCCCGAGCCCTCACTCAGCTCCCCGCCGCCATCTTGGCCGCGCTGCCGCCCTTTTCGCGCCGCGCTCTTCCTTTCCCGCGGGACTACACCTCCCATCAACCCCCGCGCCCCAAGCGGAAGTAGGGCGGGATTTCATCGCCGCCGGCCAATCAGCGAAGAGGGGTGGTGGGAGTGGCAGCGGCGACGCCCAATCGCGTTGGATGATGGCGGCGGCGCTGCGGGCGGCGCTGTGCGTGGCGGGCGCGGCGCTGTCGGTGTACGCGCTGCATGTGGAGCATGAGGTGGCCAAGGACCCGTCCTACCGAGCCGCCTGCGACCTGGGGCCCTCGGTGTCCTGCACTCGGGTGTTTTCCTCCCGGTAAAAGTCCCGGGAAAGGCCCGGGAACAACGGGAGGGGGCGGGCGGGAACGGGAGGGGGCGGGGTTTGCGTGAGGCGGCGGCCAATGGGAGTGAGGGGAAGGGGAGTGGGCGGGATTTGCGTGAGGCGGCGGCCAATGGGAGTGAGGGGAAGGGCGGGCCGCTAGGGGGCGGTGTTGGCGGGAAACCGGAGTGGGCGGGGCTTGCGTGAGGCGGCGGCCAATGGCGTTAGAGGGGCGGGGCCAGTGAGGAAAAAGGGGCGGGATTGAATGGATTGCGGGAAGAGGCGTGGTTTATGTTAATTAGATCCATATATGGGCATTGAGGCGTGGTTTGCACTGGTTATTTGCATATATAGGCATGTTTTCATGGGTTATTTGCATATTTGGGCACGGGGGCGTGGTTTGCATGGGTTATTTGCATATATGGGCACGTTTCCTTAGGTTATTTGCATATTTGGGCACGGNGGTTATTTGCATATTTGGGCACGGGGGCGTGGTTTGCATGGGTTATTTGCATATATGGGCACGTTTCCTTAGGTTATTTGCATATTTGGGCACGGGGGCGTGGTTTGCGCGGGTTATTTGCATATAGGGCATGTTTCCATGGGTTATTTGCATATTTGGGCACGGGGGCGTGGTTTGCATGTGTTATTTGCATATATGGGCATGAAGGTGTGGTTTGCATTTGTTATTTGCATATATGGGCACATTTGCATAGTTAATTTGCATATTTGGGCATGGGGGCGTGGTTTGTGCAGTTTATTTGCATATATGGGCATGAAGGCGTGGTTTGTTGAGGTTATTTGCATATAGGGCATGTTTCCATGGATTATTTGCATATTTGGGCACGGGGGCGTGGTTTGCATGGGTTATTTGCATATATGGGCACGTTTCATTAGGTTATTTGCATATTTGGGCACGGGGGCGTGGTTTGTGAGGTTTATTTGCATATATGGGCATGAAGGCGTTGTTTGTTGAGGTTATTTGCATATAGGGCACGTCTCCATGGGTTATTTGCATATATGAGCATGGAGGCGTGGTTTGCATGGGTTATTTGCATATATGGACACGTTTCCATGGGTTATTTGCATATTTGGGCACGTTTCCTTAGGTTATTTGCATATTTGGGCACGGGGGCATGGTTTGCATGGGTTATTTGCATATAGGGCACGTTTCCATGGGTTATTTGCATATTTGGGCACGGAGGCGTGGTTTGTGCGTTTTATTTGCATAAAAGGGCATGAAGGCGTAGTTTGTGTAGGTTATTTGCATATATGGGCATGCTTCCATGGGTTATTTGCATATTTGGGCACGGAGGCGTGGCTTGTGCAGTTTATTTGCATATATGGGCTGGAGGCGTGGTTTGCATGGGTTATTTGCATATATAGTCATGAATGCATGATTTGCATATTTTTTTCCATATATGGGCATGGGGATGTGGTTTGTGCAGGTTATTTGCATATATGGACATAAAGGCATGGGTTATTTGCATAGATGGGCATGGGGACATGGTTTTTGTCGGTTATTTGCATATATGGACATGAAGGCATGGGTTATTTGCATATATGGGCATGGGGGAATGGTATATTTGCATACTTGGGCATGAATGCATGGTTTATTTGCATATATGGGCATGGGGATTGGTTTATTTGCATATACGGCTGTGAAGGCCTGGTTTATTTGCATACATGGGCATGAATGCATGGTTTGTGTAGGTTATTTGCATATATGGGCATGGGGGCTTGGTTTATTTGCATATATGGATGTGAAGGTGTGGTTTATTTGCATATATGGGCATGGGGCGTGGTTTATTTGCATATATAGCAATGAAGGCATGGCTTATTTGCATATATGGCCATGAAGACGTGGTTTATTTGTATAGATGGGCACGGGGGCGTGGTTTATTTGCATATATGGCCGTGAAGGCGTGGTTTATTTGTATAGATGGGTATGGGGCGTGGCTTATTTGCATATATAGCCATGAAGGCATGGTTTATTTGCATATATGGCCATGAAGTTGTGGTTTATTTGCATATATGGCCATGAAGATGTGGTTTATTTGCATATATAGCCGTGAAGGCATGGTTTATTTGCATATATGGCCATGAAGGCATGGTTTATTTGCATATATGGCCATGAAGGCATGGTTTATTTGCATATATGGCCATGNTGAAGGCATGGTTTATTTGCATATATGGCCATGAAGGCATGGTTTATTTGCATATATGGCCATGAAGGCATGGTTTATTTGCATATATGGCCATGAAGGCGAGGTTTATTTGCATATATGGCCATGCATGTGTGGTTTATTTGCATATATGGCCATGCATGTGTGGTTTATTTGCATATATGGCCATGAAGGCGTGGTTTATTTGCTTATATGGCCATGAAGGCGTGGTTTATTTGCATATATGGCCATGAAGACGTGGTTTATTTGTATATATGAGCACGGGGGCGTGGCTTATTTGCATATATAGCCATGAAGATGTGGTTTATTTGCATATATGGCCATGAAGGCGTGGTTTATTTGCATATATAGCCGTGAAGGTGTGGTTTATTTGCATATATGGCCATGAAGACGTGGTTTATTTGCATATATAGCCATGAAGACGTGGTTTATTTGCATATATGGCCATGAAGACGTGGTTTATTTGCATATATGGGAACGGGGGCGTGGTTTATTTGCATATATAGCCGTGAAGGTGTGGTTTATTTGCATATATGGCCATGAAGACGTGTTTTATTTGTATATATGGGCACGGGGGCGTGGTTTATTTGCATACATGGGCACGGGGGCGTGTCTAACCGGCTCGTGGGCGTGTCCCGGCGTTGCCACGCCCCTT